GATCAAAATCAGCTCAAACTTCTACAATAGATAAGTCAATGTAGCCTTGCATAGCCAGACCCCAATTTCCTTTTTAATAATTGGAGGGTTAAAGTACATGTATATACAACTGTACATGCATCAGGAAAGGTATCGTGCTAGTATTAATAAAGCAACTTCATAAATTTACTTTTTTCAGGTCATGGTCACTCATCAGTGTTGAGTGGTAAGAAATTCAAACATAAGCCGCCTACATCTTGAGCCTCACTAGTCTAGATAAGGTCCATTGGTCGACATTCATTCCTTTTTATATCAAGCCACGCCTAGGCCCACGCAGCCCACGTGATACCACGTGTGTAAAATGGTGTCTATCTTATTCTCAGAAGACTTTTGTGCCCCAAGTCCGCAACTAGCACCAACTAGTCATGGGATTACTGTTCCTATTGTGTTTTGGAGCCATCAACCTCCAGTACACGATATTACCTGTATGACCAGGTCTGAACTTTGGATTTTGATATTATAGGCGGATCTAGAAATCCAAGACCACCCGGGCTCATTAATATTCATAAACGGTGTGGTCAAATTGGTTAATTATTCACCACTTAACCTCCTGCTTTGCTATCAGAAGCTATGTATATTGTTATTACTGTGTGGTTTGTGGTTGTTCAGATGTATTGTGATAAGATTATGACAGTATTGTCATGCAACCCAGCCCTTATAATAACCAAACCACACCAATGGGTGTGGTCTCGAGTAAAATCTACCCAGGCATTGCCCGGGCTAGCCCGGGCCTAGATCCGCCTATGTTTGATACTGACTATTGGCTGTGTATTTAATAGGACAGAGGAGGATAAAGGAGGAGCTACTGGTACTAAAACGGGACAGATTTGTATCTGGAACTTATGCAGGAAGAGAATCAATGGAGATATTGTGGTTAGACCAATTATCGCTATCACTTAAAAACCTTTATTTATCATTTTAATTAATGCCCACCACAATTTCCAATTAATGCCTATCTTTTCTAGTTATGTCTGAGACTATTATTACTAGGAATGCAATCTGGAGACAGGGACAGGATTGTCAGTTTTAGTAAAAACGGATGCGTTGATGTGGTAGGGGTGTAGCTAGTTATTAATGTTATATTAATAGGTGCATAGCATTGTGGGATGGTAAAGATGGGATGTGTCTTAAGACTGTTAATAATCTTGGAAATGGAATGCATTATGGAATAAAGGTAGTGATAATATTAATGGAGCATTATGTAAATCAGGGTTTCCAGCATTATATTGTGCTTAATTGTGTTTTATATAGTTATACTTTCCTGTTCTTTATTATCATTAGCTGCAGGTGTGGGGTCTATCATTGGTAAGCTTCATTGAGAGGAAGGTTCTGCTGCTCCTGATTTCAAGTCTCATTTCACTGGCTCTCTCTCTGACTCATGGCAGTCCCCAGCCACTCCTTGTTCCCTTATTGACTCAGTTGTCAGTTATCATATTCCTGGGAATTCCCAACCATTGCAATCATTACATGCTCAATGGGACATGGCCACAAATTACCAAATTGAAACTTGCCAATCAACAAAATTCACCAAATTACTCCCTCTAATATTACTAGCCTTACATGTACATGTACAATGTGTTGTACCCTCTTTTTCAACCCTCCATCTCTCTCACTCTTTCTATTATATAATCTTTCTTTCTATTTTTATTTTAATGTTCTAAATATATGTTAAATCTTTATTTTTTCTCTCTCTCTGTATCTGTTTCCTCAGTTCTCTCTCCCCCCTCTCTCTTTCT